TCCCCTACGCTACTCTCTAGCAGCTCAGTCCGCACCCTACGCTGGTACATGGGGTTGTTCTTTCCCAGATGAAGACTCTACACTTGCCCTTGTTGTATTTCTCCCCGCCCAGCTCTCCAGCCTGTCCAGGTCTCGCTGAATGGCAGCACAGCCTTCTGGTGTGTCAGCCACTCCTCCCAGTTTTGTGTCATCAGCAAACTTGCTGACAGTGCACCCTGTTCCCTCATCCAGGTCACTGATGAATGTATTGAATAGTACTGGTCCCAGTACCGACCCCTGATGGACTCCACTAGATACAGGCCTCCAACTAGACTCTGTCCCATTGACCACAACTCTATTGGTACTATATTGACCAAATATATATATGTATGTTTGGACAGAGAAATGCGTTACAACTCAGCACAGAATTTCTAGCATAGGAAATCCTACAAGTTAGTTGCAGGAAGAGATGATATATAGTCATCTTTACATTGATGTCTGTATTTTATTCAGAATATTGTATTTTAATGAAAATGTTCTGATTAATATTTGATGTGAGATTATAATTTGTCTCATTTTGGAGGGTTAGTTTGTTCGGTTTTAATTAATCGAATTGAGGGAAAGAAAGTGACCTGCACAACTGCTGTAGGAATGGAATACTGCTAAAGAAAAAAGGAAAATACTTAGTAGAAATGTGGTTCTGTACTTTGGAAAATGATATAGTGAGGGCTGATATTATACTAAATTAAATTACCTGACTTCGTTAACTGCTGTATTTCATATAATATACATGGCAAATAAGGAGGTGCTAAGCATCCTAAAAGCATGCCTCAAATTTGTAGGATACTTTTACCTGAAAATGTCACTTGACATTTACCATCTTTATTTTTCTGAGTGTACTCTTCACATCTATTTTGTTTTCAAAGGAATGGTCACACACTTTTTGGTGTCCTAAATTACACTAAAACTCCAGGTGGAAGTAGAAGACTTAGATCCAATATCCTGGAGCCGCTAGTTGATGTGGAAACAATCAACACAAGACTGGACTGTGTTCAGGAATTACTCCAGGATGAGGAGCTCTTTTTTGGTCTTCAAGCAGGTAGTATTCTATTTTTTGATATGTAGTATTAATATTTCTTTTTAAACATTCCTTCTAATCTGTGGAAGTATGCAGTGTGACTCAGGATGTTTGAAAAGGCTTTTTTTAATGATTTGGCAGGTGACAATTATATAATGGACACTTAATTTTTTGAAGTAATCTTTATTATGATAGTGATATGTTGCTAAGAAAAGTGAATTTTTCTGATAAGGTGTGTAGAAGTCAGTGAGTTCTTAGCTTTTTTGAAGAATTTGTGTCTCTACCTCTGTGGCTAGATATGGGCTATGTTGGAAGTACACAAGTATACATTGAAAACAAAGGCATTGCTGATGTAATACTTGTCATGTATGCATATTTTTTTCGTTGCTTCATAAAACATAGTGGTCCAGACAAATGTAAAAAAAAAACAAAACAAAACAATACCAGAGTATATGAGTTAGTCTACCTGAAGTTGGATCATGTAATCTTAATCTTTATCACCAGAGAAATGTGATTCAATCTAACATAAAAGAATGTTGCTGAATTGCAAAATAATCCCTACATGCTTAGGTATAGTAAGTATAGTTATGACAAAATAGTTTAGATAGCAGCTATTTTTAACCTGTTTGTTTTTCCCTGATAGATAATTTGTGAAGATAGAATGAAAGAAAAAGTATCACTAAGTAATTGTGTGTACTTCAAAAAGAAAAAAGATTTTATTACAATTTCAGTTCAATTTCTGATCTGTTTACTTTTGTTTTACAGTTATCTCAAAATTCCTGGATACAGAACAACTACTTTCAGTTTTGGTGCAAATTCCAAAGCAGGATACAGTATGTTTCGAAATAACACCTTAGATGATCAGTTACCTGTCTGTACATGCAATATATAAATATGCGTGATACAATAAGAGAAAGACTGCACCTTAAAAAACCATGGAATAATGGTATTGTAGATTGAGAGTGTATCTTATTTTACAACAGTAGAAGATTCTCATAGGAGAATGGTAGAAAAAAATTGATTTACTTTAATATTGCATTCATCTTAATTTACGGAAATTAGCTTCCAAAAATGTTTACTTTTTCATGACTCCCCACCTTTATTCTTCATAAGCATACATCCTATTTGACACTACTAGGACAGGAGAGAGGAATTTTCTTCACGTCAGTATAAAAGGAAAAAGTGTGTAACAAATTTACTGTTATTTTTGTATTAATACATTTTTGATAGCTTAAAGAAAATAAAACATCTTTCTTACTAGAAATTAATTTCTTAGTTTTCATGTAATACAAATCAATAGAAATTAGTCTTTATTTCCTGAAAAATGATTTTGAAAAAGGTTCTTAAGATGCGCTCTGACTTTGCTCAGCTGTGTTTATAATACAAATAAACTTAAATCTGTATTCAATTACTAGGTCGATCCTGTAAACATACAAAACCTGAAATGGGACTTATCTTTTAGTTACCAAGACAGACAGGATTGACCTAAGCGCAGCTTTTTCCTGCAGGAGTTAAGTGTTTCCTCTGAACAACAACCAGCTGACAAAAGACAATGTGCTCACTTGCACCGCATAAGCAGTACCAAGTGAGACAGAAGTTTCCCTTAGACTGAGTGTTACCGTAAGCAGAGAACCTTGCATCTCAAGCACACACAGAGAGATGTCTAGGTTATGAATAGTGTCTGGAAGTCCCTTCTGTGTCCAGTCCTCAACTCGGCCCATGTTTCTGTGTTCATTCATTCCTTGAATGCGAGGAATAAGTAATGTATTGGAGAATTTATTCCTTTTAAGTTTTCTCAGGGTCCTATCTTGCAGGTTAAAAGGATGCCCTGCTCTTATCTATTACCTTAAATCACGCATATTTTAAAATGAAATGTAGATAAAAGGATTTATTAATAAAAGCATAACTAGGCAATAAAGCTATAAATGTTTACAACAACATAGTTTA